TGACTATAACTACTTTTAATGACAGTTTCAAACGGCAAGATTGTACATCTTTAGAAAAAAGGATATAGTCTTTTTTCTTCAACTTATTTTGCTGATGTCAGAGGACACAGTATCATTTGTTTCTCCAAATTCTCTGAAACGTTCCGTTTGAAATCATCGATAAAGATGTAAACATAGTAAAGTCAAAAAAAAATTAAATCTCTTGCATCTGTTATATTTATGCAGTAGAAATTACAAACTAAGTTTGATATTTTATTATTCTTAAATGGAAAGCTATCTTTTTTATTCCCGTAATGCTTTCCGTAAAGTGAAAACATTTTTCTATAAGAGATTATCTTATATTTCGATAGGACTGTTCAGTTATAATTTACATCGACACAGTTATTGCAAAATATACACATTTTTTTAAAGAAGGAAAGTATGGCTTGATTCTTCTTTTGCATCAGAACTGATAACCTTCATATACGTGTTTGCATATGAAAAGCTAGTGAAATACAGAAAAACTGAGTAATAAAAGCCAATGAAATAAGAGATTATTAAGACAATGAAAAATCAAAGTTTCAAGTATGATACCTCAAGAGGAACTTAAAATTCACAGGTATAACAATAGAATAATTCCTATACGAAGATAGATTTTTCTCAATGAAATGCAATAGAGACGGTTTCATTTTCTTCCTTTTCTCCCTTTCTACAATTTTTGAACCAAGTTTAGTTTATATGCACTTTTGTCACACGAAATTAAACATCTAAACTAAACTGGAAACAAAAGAAAACAAAACAAAACAAAACAAAACAAAAAAAAAAAGGCATTAGCAAAGGAAGGCAAATTTTTATTCAACCACATGAAGATATAATAGAATTTTCTTTACACTTATGCATTCATTCGTGATTTACTAATCTGAAAGGTCCATTCAAATATAAACAGGAATTTATCAGCTAACTTATTGAATACAATGAAAATAAATACAGCGACTCAGAAAATGTTGGGGCTAGGAAAACAATCAGACATCCAGTGACAAAAATTCAACAGTTAGAAATAAATAAGGTATTTTGAATAAATTGTTTTCAAGTACGAAAGTAAAAAGGAACTGGGAGATTACAGGACTACGGTAACAAATATGAAAGAAAAGCTTATTCTATCAGGACCTCAAGGAACTGCTAGTTTTTAACATGTGTCTAAAAATTACGAGATGTCTTTTAACTCAAAAGAACTTAACTATAATTCTTCATTAGACTAGTAGAACATTTCTGAAAAAAATACGTGAACTATCAAATGTAATCAAATCTATTGTTAATAATACAATTTCGAAATGCATGAAAACAAATATATATGCAAATAAACTTCAGAAAGCGTCTAGGTCATTTCATTTAAAAACGAAAGGTAGATCATAAGAAAAAATATTCGAGGTGACCCTAAAATCGGAGCATTTAACTCACTTTAATAGTCCAAGGAAGGTTTATCAAGTTTACTAATGCAGAACGTATTACAGTATTTTCAGAGATAATATTTTCATGACCAAATAGCTTTGAAAACCATCTCTTAGTAAAATGAGTCGAAAGACACGATTAAACTCACAGAGCTCTATTTTGAAAAGCTTCGGGGTTTTGGGAATTCGGTTGCGTTTGTAGATGAAAGAAAATTTAATATTTTTCAGAATGATAGAAAGCAAACAGTATGGCTAAAACCCCCCAAACGTGGATAGATGCCAGTTTCCCTTAGGAATTCCTTCACCCTGTTAGACAACCCACCACTACTTTGCCTAATCGTACAAAACCAAAACTTCAATAAGACTTGGTTGAAATAGCTAGAAGTCTGAAGTTATGAGTGCTTATAGTGCTAGAAATCTACATTGTATTGATTGAAAAATAAATAAATTTATTACAACAAGTATTTATTCAATATAAAATTTTATTCAATATAAAAGTATTTATTCAATATAAAAAGTATTTATCCAATATAAAAAGTATTTATTCAATATAAACACCAAGTATTTATTCAATATAAAAAGACTCAAGCGATCTATAAAAGAAAAAAAATTGGCAAAAAAGAACTGCTTGGCGCAATTACTGTACACGTACTGCCGAGAAATTCAGTGCTCCTATTAAAATAGTGACTGATCACGTTTTTAGGCCAACAACTCTACCTGCCAGTCTCCTTCCTACTGCCAAGTTTCATGATATCGCTCAGCATGTACTTAAGACTCTCTTCCAACCAGATCCTATCTCTTAGATCTTGCAGAGCATGTAACCTTGCGTTCTAATTTTGATACTTACACGCCCTTTAAACATTCTTTGGAACCAGCACTTACACTGGCTGAAATAAAGTGAATCTTTCAGAATTTAAATCCAAACAAGGCTCCTGGCCCAGATGGGTTAGATAACTCGTACATTCAACTTCTTTTCAAGATTAGTTCGGATCTTATTTTTGCATTCATTAGTTCATGCTGGAAACTTCGTCACCTTCCAGCATCTTCAAAGAAAGCTGAAGTCGCACTGTGTCATAAAAAAGGAAAGGATCGATCTAGACCTGATTCTTATCTTCCGATCTGTCTGCTTCCCTCTTTTGGCAAGCTCTTGGAACGTGTTATTCTTGGCAGACTTCAATACGTTCTTGATAACAATGATATTCTGGAAAACAATCAATATGGCTTCTTGTGTGGAAAATCTACAGAGCATGCTCTCGCAAGACTCCACAATCCTTAAAGAAAACAGGCAAGATAAACAACATTCTATCATAATTAGCCTAGATTTCCAGGCGGCCTTTGACTCCTTATGGTGGCCGGACATCATTGATGCTCTGGTTGCCATGGGATGTCCGTGGGACCTTCTGGACTTCATTAGAAGCTACCTACAGGACCGCTCAGAACAATTAACTTCTGACTCTGGCATAACAGAGCATAAACTACACAGGGGTTGTCCGCAGGGGTCTTGCTTGGTGCCTATCTTATGGATCACAGTGGCAAATTCAATTCTTAGATAACTTAATAAAGAATCGGACTGCTCTGTCATAGCATATGCGGATTACCGCTTACTCATCTTCAAGGGATAATCAAAACTTCAAAATATAGCTCAACATTACCTTGATATTTTCGGTAACTTGGCACGACAACACAAAATTAATATCTCTCTTAAAAAAAGGCAGGGTATAATAATCGGAGCAAAGGGACCATTGAAACGTATACCTTCACTTAAAATACAAGGCTCCTCAACTAAATTTGTTGAAAACTTGAAATACTTAGGCTTAATTATAAACAATAGACTTTACTGGCTCCCTCACCAATAGACTTTCAACAATAGACTTTCCTCGCAACCTCAAAAAGAAAGTGGATATTCTTAACAACAATATGAAACGCACAGCAGCGGCTAAATGGGACATTTCATCTCCTATTTTGAAAATATGGTATCAAACAGTCATTGAGAAAATAATCCTCTACGGAGCAGGTATTTGGGCCAATTCCTTAACTAAGCAAGAGATAAACTGAGGTCAAACTATCCAACGGCCTCATCTTCTTCTAGTTTGTCGAGGGTATTGTACAGCCTCTACAACAGTATTACAGGTCCTTTCGGGATTACCTCCGTTGGACCTTGTACAGAGAGAATCAACTCTGTGCGGTGTCTTGCTTCTTGTGCAGAATCGGATCCTGTGGAATCAAGAGTATTTTGCAGCAAACTTTGAATCAAAAATCTCATCACCTGCTTTTCATCCTTCTGCCATAGACCTTCGGAAACATATAACTTAAAAAGTAGCCAGTCTAGTTACCGATCACTTTTCAATATTCACAGATGGATCCAGTATGGATACAGGGACGGGTAGCATATTTCACAAGTGCACATCAGCGTAGCCACTGAGGGAGGGGTTTCGAAAATGGACCAATGAGCTGCTATTGTTCTTGTGACGCTAAAGTTTCGTGCATGTGAGCGTATGTTGTTTACGTTTTAATTTGCTTTTGTTTCGCAGTTATAAATGTATGGAGTTGTAGTAGAAAATCACGTAGTGCTTTCGTTTTCTGAGTTTAATTAATCGCTAACATTTCACTTTCGCGATTTTTATCGCGCAATAATATTTGGATTGATGTTCACGGCATAGTATCACTCTTTACATCGAGAAAAGGACTCAAGCTACAATTACCTCAAATATTATGCATTTACTAACACCCGTGGATTAAGATAATTCAAATGTATATATATATTTTTTAATTGAGCTGAGAAGACTGGAAGAAGTGTTACAATGAATCTAGCGTTTTTTTATTTCGGTGCTTGCATTTTTCTGATTTTTAACGTGTAAGATTCAGAATACATATTGTGCAGGATATGATTATATCCCTTGTTAACATTAAATGAATTATATGTGAATAAATTGAATATACTCGTTGTGAATACGATAAATTCACTCTGCTTGATGAGTATTTCTTGTGTAGATAGTACATTTCAGAGTGAGCATTTATTAAATGTGAGATTTAACGCACTAAATGTGCACGAATGCAAATTAGTAAATTTCACTTTGAATAAAATTCTGCATTGGTTATTATTATAGAATATATTTTTCTTATAGACTGCAATAAAAAGTGCTGACTTTTATTTACATATATAATTGGTATAAATATTTTTCTCATACGCATAGTTTTATCTAAAGATTACATTTGGGCTCAGTTGTTTATCACATATTTCTTTCTTCATTTTATTCACCACTTATTAAATAATATTTCACATCGATATTTTTGCGAAGTATCCAACATGTGTTTGCATTTATTTCAACCAGGTAGTGAAATCTTCATAATTTCCTATATTTGATCTAACTTCAATGAAAAGTTTCAGAAGCAATCGACGATGCTTTAATTATTTTGTACAAAAAATTGCGTGGCAGAATATTTTCAACCATCTTGCTTAAATCTTAAAGCATGCGAAACGTCATGAGACATGACAGAAATATTACTGGATACTTATTGGTTCATCCTAGAAGCCATTTCCTCGGTGGCTACACAGATGTGCACTTGTGAAATATGCGGCTGGGAAGTGGATTGTGCATTTTAAAGGACAACAATACTCAAAGCCAATGGCGAAGACTACTGAATAAAAATAATTCTGTGTTTCAGGCCGAATTACTCGCAATATTAAAAGAAATTAATTTTATACATCGACTTCCTAGTCCTGTGTTTATCTACAGTGATTCTCTCTCTGGCCTCAATGCAATAGCAGGATTTAGAAGCAGAAGCCCAATGGTGCATAACATACAGAAAAAGTTACTTAATCTTGACTCCACAATTCAACCAATACTTTGCTGGGTGCCTGCACATACAGGCATTTTTGGAAATGAATTTGCTGAAGCTACGGCTAAGGAGGCGGCAATGGCCACGAATCTACCTGAATTCTCTCTTCCTCTTCCGGGATCATATCTCAAGAAATTAACTAGTATACAGCTTTCTCAACAGCAGCTCAGGTGGGATACTTTTAACACAGGTAGAAGAACGCATAAATTTGTCTCAAAGGTCTCAACCAACTTCCTTTCCAGCGCCTTGGCACTCACAACATTTTTAACAGGGCATGGACCATTTTTAACTTATCTCTTCAGATTTGGCCTTTCTAACAATGAGCAATGCAAGTGTGGGGTGACAGGAACTCCTGATCATTATGTTTTCAACTGCTCCTTGACGTCAGCTTTCCATTTAAACAGACCAGCGGACACGTTCTGGAAGGAATGGACCAATAATTTAGACTAATAGAACCAATAGCATTAAAAAGTTGACCAACATCATACAGTGGAGTTCCGAAAATGCTTCATTTTTTAGAATTTCACAACTTAAATTTTACTCAGATCAATTTCTTATGACTAAATAGAACCTTAAACTGAACAGATCTACTCAACTTTTCCATATTGACTTCTACTTTTCCCATGGAATGCACTTCCTTTGAGAAACTCTTTGAACTATGGGGGATAGACATGCCAAAGCGTAATCATATGCACAGTGTATCTATTTACAGGCAAAAACCTATTTGCTTTCAAACCTTTGAATATCATTACAATCATATGTGAACTGATACGGCTCAAAACCTTATACCTCGCAAGGTTGCTTTATAAATATTGGCAATATTGTCCCCCTTAAAAATGCGTCCCCCTACAACTTTTATTTAATTCTTCATAGTGTTAGTTTTATGTTATATTTCACATATGCCTTTCTGATGTTGCTACACATTGATGAAAATGACATTATTATTTATGGCACAATACAAAGTTCTTTCATAAATTACTGCAAGAAACTATGTTCCTACAGAAACTTCTGCATATCCATATAATAGCGAACTGCATATGTCACAGTGTACTACTTACACAACTTATCTATGTTAACTATGTAATCCATGTTATTATAACAACATTCAGCTCTTAAGGTTGCAAGCTATTATGCTGATAAGTGTTGTTTTTCATTCTTGGTGTACTAGAAATCTACTTTTGTTCACTGAAAATATTGCTGTATATTATCTATGCAACTGCCTACGTAACTACATTACCGTTTAATGTAATGGTGAGAATTCGTGATCTAAGGGCGTATCAAATATACGGTATATCATTGGTTTGTAACTGAATTCATAATGTTGTAACATATATAATGCCGAAGGTTGAAGTTGTAACCGTATTTAGCTTGACCTTTGTACAAGTAAATTTCTAATTACAAGATTTTGTAACCTTAATTTTGCACTAGATCAAGATCATTTTTACTTTGTTTCTTCTTCACAACTGTTTATTTTCCTATTTTCACAACTGCTTATAATATCTGAATGTTTTTTTTAGTTGCTTCAAACAAAGATGACAATGTAACTATTTTTGGATTGTGACTCTGTAACTCGATTATGTTAAATTAATGCCTGCTGATCTGCCTTGGTCAACTGAGGCTGTAGTAGACTTCCACTGATCAGGCACTATTCCGCTGTGTAATCTCTTAGATAATCTTAGGTCAGAAGCCTGCTCAGTGGTGCTATATGCTATATCTATGCCTTCTCCGGGATTCTAACCCAGGCGGTGACACTTTACTCAACCTTGTTGTGAATCTCTTAGTTCAACGTATTGTTACAACTTGGGTGATTGAAAAAAAAGTGGGACTTCTAATGTGCCCACCGAAGTGAATCATAATTGTTTTTAACTCTTCGCATGAATGGAGCATAAATAGTCCCGTTTGTATTCGAATATCTCTCATAGTTGTAAGGGAATATGAATTTAACATTTTGTAGGTTCATTATTAATATGAAGGGCTCTCAACCAGGTGGTATTTCGTAGTGCCAGGAGGAGATTTTGTTAAATTCAAATTGTCATACTTTGAATTGTAACAAAAAGCCCACAGAAAAGTGTAGTTACGGCAATACTGGATTAAAATAATCTGAAAGACTTAAAAATATAAATAAGAAAGCTTCATAAGTAAAGAACAATAGTAAAAGTTTTCTTTTTCTCTTTTAATAGCAAAGGTAATGCCGAATTAATTTGAAGAACTACGAAATTCATGAGTTTGCTTTTAGTTTTCTTTCACCTTTTTTTTTTTTAGAGTTTGGGATTCTTAGACCAAGAACATGATTTTCTACGAAATGTCATTTATTCTCCTAAAGCAGTTACCAAGGTGGAGATCGCAGTAAAGTATTAGAGGAGTCGTGTGAAGTATGAAAAATCAAAATAAAACAAAAATACCTTGTTAAATCATTTATGTTAGTAACGGGAGTAAAAATATAACACACATAAAGAAAAAATAATGATCAAATCCATCTAATTTAAAGTTTAACAATTTAAATATAAAAACTAAGAAAAATGTTATCTGTATTACAGACTTTAAAATGTTTATTTATTTATTATTTTTTATTACATCCTCCCCCACATTGTATATTCCTAAATTGTATTCCCCGTGTATATTCTTAAAAAACAAAAGTACTGGTTAATTGGTAGTAAAAGCAAAACGTTTAACGTTCTTCGTGCGTATACCATGATTAACATTTTGTTGAAAATGATTTTGACATAACGGTAACACCAATTTGCTAAAACATTTTCTAGGTTAAACTGGATATTGACATCAAGCTATAAAATAGATGGAAAAAAATTAGTATGCATAAAAATTAAAGTTTAAAATTTTGTAAGAAAATCTAAGAAGATCAATTAATTTTAAGAAAATCAATTAATTATTCTTTTAATGGCTGGACACATGTTAAGCGATAACTGTTTGTCAGACATCCGATTGTAAGGATATTTCTCCTTCCTCACAGTGTGCCTTCGTGGTATAATTGAAGTAAGTCCGGCTGGCAACTGGATAGTCCGGATCTCTAGTCTCGGCGAAATCATCGCTAAATGTCTGAATGGGATCACAATGAATTTGACTTAAATTGTGACTCGTAACAAAATACACGAGGGCTATTTGCGTCGGAGGACGGAGGCTTCGTGGAGGACATTGAAAAGAGACTTGTATTCAAAATGAACATGGGGAAAACCCCCATGAAGTCAGCTCGTTTGCCTAGGCTTAAATCTAATTTGAAAGACCATCATTTATTGGTCTTAATCATTAGGTAACTGTTTGAGCTCAGTAACAATGAAAGGGAGACGTTTAAAAATAGTCGTTTCTCCTAGGCTCGAATTTGTGCCGAAAGTTAAGGCAGCCAGCCCTGCTAACCACCATACAGATCAAAACAACACTTATGCAAATATAATGTCTTAAAACAGAGTTATTGTCTGTTGAAGTAAAGTTTAATGTATGTGATTATGCGATTACTATCTTTTTCTGTTACCCACACTGCCTTCGAAAAGTTATTTATTAGCAAAATTCTAATGTTTCTAAAAGAGGAGACCTATGTGAGATGCTTTCTTCTGAAGGTATCAAAACTTCTGTAATAGCAGAAGGGAAGAAAATATTTCTGGTGCAGATGATTTTATCCGGACAGCATACTATACGTACAGTTAGTAGTTTTTCTGCCATTTCCACGTCTAATGAGATAACGCGCAGTTCATAATCTGCTTGAGGGCAACTAGAATATGCACCTGGAGAACCTGCTTTCAAATGGAGTTCCAAAACTTTCTCTAGAAGATACTTACAAATTGATTGTCAAAGTCATGGCATATTTTTTCTTTCAGTTAAAGAAATGCTTTATTATTTACTTCTAAACAAATTGAGGTAATAAGGTATGAGGTATTTTATCCATTCTTCCAGCATATATTCGTGGTGTAACGGCAGCACAATTGGCGCGTATTCGAGAATTCCATGTTCGAGTCTCGGTGAGGAGATTGACCATTTTTCATATCTCCTGCATCAAAATAACCTAATGACTCTATAAAGGAATGAATTGAAATTTAAATAAAATCAAATATATTTCATTGCTGTAATCTGAAATAAGTTAAGTAAATAACTGGTTGTGTATCCTGACAACTTCATAAAAGAGTACGTACTTAATAAGGCCCAAATTATAGTATACCTCAATAAGAGATGGTTGTTGGTGCTAAAATATTTACTTTAAATAATGTTTAACTCATATGCTTGACCCTCAAATTGTTGATGTGTTTATTATTATATGAAACACAGAAAGCGGCACATTTATTTATGAATATACTAGAATACTAAATTTATAAAAAGAAGTAGATTTAGTAAGAATGTACTAAAAGTGACCCTACTGTTGCTACTAAACGATTCCTCTCTCACCAGAAATTGATGATATGAGTTTTTTGTCAGCATCAACTGAGAACGTTCCTGACAGTTTAGTCTTCAGAAAACGAATTGTTGAAATGCCGACATTTTATGTCACTCAACAGTGTATTCTCTTTTCTGTTAGTTAATAAAACTGCTGGGCTTCTTTTGATATTCATGGATTCTCTTGAAAGCTCATAAAATGTTTTATGCATGACATCACTCATTTTGATGTAACATAGCAAGACGTAATAACGACCGCACGTCTTGTACAAACACCGGACTGAAACTGGTTAGAACTAGATTTTACCAACTTTTGCATCTGGTAATTTCACGATAATGCTCTGTGTTGGTAGAAGCTCGAAGTTTAAATATTTTATTAAATATTTCAGACTGCACACACCGATACTGATAACTGTTCCTTCTTAAGACATTTGCAGCAAACTATGTATTATTTTAAATATCTTTTTTCTTCAAATTTGATTTCATTTATTTGATTTCGAATAAGATTTATAAGAGTTTTATTGGAAGACCTTAAAAAGATGTCTCTTTCTTAAATAACAATAGAATTTCAGTTCTTAAATTTCATAAAACTATTGAAATGTATTATATGTCGTACTAAAATTATTGTGTTTAACAGATAAATTAATATTTACTACTATAGAAAATTTTCATATTAGTTCTAAGAAACCAACCACTCACAGGCAGCTAAAAAATTCTTTGATTTGTTTTTTGATTTGAGGTTATTAAGCAAAATTAAATATCTTGTTAGATAAACAACAAAAGTTATATAAATTTTTTAAAATTTTGATGTGCAGTAGAAACCTTGGTGAAGTTCCATTTTGAACTATGTCTAATTTGGTATATGTTCTGTATGGACTTGGAAATTTGTTGTTTGATATACGACATTTGTTTTCAATACGACTCAAAGTCACGATTGCACTCAATGCATTTCTTCACTTCTTTCGAGACAAAGACGACTGCCCATGAGCGTCAGTACGGTTGTTGTTATTGTTCAGTGAACAACTGATGCTATAACCCTGAATTTGAAAGGATACTCTGTTTTCCGGTTGAAT